TATATTTTGAAATACAGTTTGATTTCTTTAAGAGATTGTAGGATATTATATGGATTAATGTCATAAAAGAGTTCTTTCATTTTGGTTGGCTGATTTTGTTTAGCAGCATATCAACCAATATGGGTTAATTAATGCTGAAATCTAAATATTTTGAATGCAATTTCATGGTCACAACTAAATATATTTTGAATGCATTACTTTCAACTACAGATGAAATGCATTGTTGGTGATTCTACTGTAAAATGTATTGCTGGTCATTTTGCTATAAATATGCGTTTTTGGTAATTTTAATATAAATATATATATTTATACTTTCATAGTGTTTCTTTTTCTTTTTTTTTCTTTTTTAGGAATCACTATTTGCTCATAGCTATGATCCTAACAGGTGCTACCACTCCAGTGGACCTGTGAATAAGCAATTAAGGTGTTTTGACGCTTCTCAAAAGCGCCAATCTGTCGATTAGAAGCCTTGCTGCCAAATATAGTTTATCATTATAACCAAGACTGCAGTGGAATTAGAGTGATGAAGCAGATGGTCATCATGTTAATATGTTGAGCATTGAAGTAAAAAAAAAGATGTTCGCAGACGAATGTAGAGAGAGAAAGAGAGCTTTATCTAAATCGTTAGATATTTTATCTAGCAAGTAACAGTATTGAGAAGAAGGAGAACGATAAAGGAAGACATAACTAGACGAACTTAATAGTAAAAGTCGGAAGCACATTTTAAGAACAATCTAGAGACTCAAGAAACAATTTCCTTGCCGTGTTTCTTCAGGATATAGGTGACCATGGCTCTCCACTTCTCCCTATCACTTGTAGTTCTCAATATGTTCTGTCCTTTTGCTACTTCTCCCAAACCCTGTTTCGTCATCCATTTGCTTAAGTCCGTTAAGTATGTCACGTGTTGCTTTCACTTGTTTCTCTTTCCCTCTATCCGCCCTGTGAGTATCAGATTTCTCCAAGCGCTCTTTTTTCATTACGTGTCTGAAATTTCAGCTGCCTCTTCCTTGAGTTTCCTTTTTTTCATCCTCTCCAAAACTTCATCGTTGCTCACATGTTAGGTCCATGGTATCTTTAGTCTCCTTCTGTAAAACCACACTTCTGCTGCCTCAAATCTCTTCTTCGTCTTGGAGGAGACCGTCCAACATTCGCTGCCGTAAATGAGTTCATATATCACGTAGCAGTTCAGTACTCTTTTCTTTGTTACCAACGAAATCCTCCTGTCTCGCAATATTCTCCTTAGCTTTTGGAATGTGTCTTTCGCCATCCCACTACGTCTTCGGATTTCAGCGTCGCTCTTACCGTCCTCTGTCAGAACACTTCCCAGATATTTACTGGGATATTTTCCTGAACATGGACACTGAAGTCATGCACGTGGATTCTAATCCTTTCGACAGAGAAGAAGATAGCCAGAATCAGAGAATTCAGTGATAGAGATTGAATCTAGGTTAGTTTCACAGAGAGATAGGATGTCAGAACGTTCCAAAGGAAACGACTCTAGACTGCAGAGATTGGTACAGATGCCATGAATATTGAAGAAAGAAAGGTTGATGGACTTTGAATATTTTTTTAAAACTTGTTTAGTTCTATTTTCTTTAATAATTGTAATCATAAGATGAGCTGTTAATGTGGAAGAGGCCAATTTGCTACCAACCATCTAACGCAATACAGGTCGCCTGGAAGATGGCGAAAGCTACAGCATAGTGCGGCATCAGTGTTACCCACCGGAAGTGTTTGCCGGGACACTTATACATGCGCAATATGGTATTGCAAGAACCCCGATATTATGTCACTGTTGACCAGAGCAGCTTCTCTAAGAGCTAGCAATGAGTCAGGGCTCCTTGCTACCAGGCGAGATGCAGCAACCAGATAACTGCCAACCTGGTACCCACAAAATAAAGTATTGTAGCCTCCGACCAAACATATTACCAACAAGTCATGACAGCTACTTTTATTAATGTCTTAGGAGAAGGAACCGGAAACCCCATCTAAAACTGGAAAACAAGGGGTAAATCTCCACTCCTCTTCAAAAGATAGGAAAGGTGTGTGAACAGGGCGATAGGAGAACCTATCTACTTATACTGAAAACAAAATTATAAACAAATAAATAAATAAACGAAAAAATAGTAAATAAAATTTCTAAGTGAGGGAGGAGACATTAGAAGAAAAGAATTAAGAGCACGTGCGATACAAATGCTTGTATTCAGATAGAGATCGTCCATTGTAATTATCTTTCCTTAATGTTTTAACTACATAGTTAAGTTGTAGCTTAGTAAATGTTATGTTATCTCTTAAAAGGTATAAGTAAAAATAAATTACCGTTAATACTGGCAATTTATTTTATTCTTTAAACACTAGTGAAAGGAAAAATTGATAATTTTATATATATATATATATATATATATATATATATATATATATATATATATATGAAATAATAAAAAATATTAAAAATTAAAATCTTCAGACACACTGGGTTGTAGATTAATATTCTTTCGTTTTTTTTTTATTATTATTTCATTTCGATTTTTCGACGAGTTTCGACCAACATGGCCATCATCAGGAGAAAAAAATTCTGCTTGCTGGTAGCAGTGAACTACAGAAATGAATGTCTTGATGGAGAAAATGAACTTTTGTCTGTAGTTTTCATTTGTTTTTTTTTATCTTTTTAACATAGATTTTTTCAACATTCCTTGTGTTGGTCAAACCGTCTCTTTTAAGTTGTTATTTGAGATAAGAGCTGGATGGATCAATGCTGTTGTGAATTTATATATATATATATATATATATATATATATATATATATATATATATATATATATATATATGAACAAATATACTCTTAAGGTGTGCTATATTTATGGAATAAAGTGCTCAATATCAAGATAGAGCACGCGCGTGTGCGCCCACAATTACATTTAAATGGTATTAAACAAATAACTAAATAAATAATGAAGCAAAAGAGTGTAGAAAAAATTAAATTAAAATCAAACCCGAATACACGGAAACATATCAAATGTTTTTCCTATTAAATCTAATTTCTTGTGCCAAACACAAAAACTTAGTAGAAATAGTACAAGGTAACCAAAAAAGTTCTGTCCGTTTTTAAAGAAAAAAAGAAAACGCTTCACAGTATGTGTAAATTATATTTAGTCTTCGAAGTAATCGCCATCGACATCCAGCACCTTCTGCCAACGTGTCTCCATCTGTTCAATGCCCTTGCGGTAGAACTCGGGGGGTTTTGATGCAAAGAAGTCCGTGAGGGCTTTGCGCAAGTCTGCTTCATTGGTGAAGGATTTCCTACGAAGATGATTATCCAGGCAGTGGAAGAGGCGCAAGGTCAGGTGAATAAGGTGGGTGGCACAAAGTCTCACACCCAAGTTGCTGTATGGTATCTCTGACCACTCGCGCGACATGCAGCCTGGCGTTGTCATGGAGCACACCTTTGCGATTCAGCAGTGCTGGATCCTTCTGGCGCAATGCCTGTTGCACACGTTTCAATTGCTGCGAGTATAAGTCTGGTAGCAGTTCATAATAAACCACTTGCGTGGGTGCATAAGCGGTGTGAGGGACAGCATCCTGGGGAGATAACCAATGTCTGGAAAGCTTGGGAGTTTCGTACAGAACCCACTTTTCATCACTGGTAAGCACTCGATTGAATAAGGATTCGGCACGGTGGCGGTACTTGATACCGAATCAAGCCGAGCTTCTCGGCTCGACGGTCGAACTCTCTGCCTCTGAGCAGAGAGGAACCCGGACGAGACTCCGACTAAGAGCAGAGTCTCGTTCGGGGAGGTTGACCAACTGTTTTTACAGTTTCTACGGGCTCGGAAAACCCACGTAAAACTCGGCCTTGTGCCACATCGTTCCCTAGTGGGTGGGGGGAAATAAATATCGAATCGAGTCGAGCCGATAGTAGTTCACTCCAAACCAGACTGACAGTCATACTAACACCTTCCACATCTTGTATTATTATTTCGTGTAATATACCTTTGTTATTTCTACTCTTGTGTTCGTGTTGTTCTTCCTTGGTCCTAACCTGGACCATAACAATAATAAATTTGAAAAAAAAACAAACAAACAAAAAACGAAAACCCCTACTTTTACTCGCCACACAAGCGTCTCTGGGACATATAGCAATTTTTGGAAAGTCATGTTTAAATTCACACTTCGTTCTTGGGAAAATTTCTTTGAATTCTTTTTCGTTCTTTGTTGTCGAAATGCCGGAGAATTTTCACTTGAACTTCAAAACTCTTTAGTGTCTCTGAAGCTGACTGGTAACCTTGTACCTTCTTGATGCTATCTTCTTGATGTCAAATGCCTTCTGCTCCTTGATGTTGAATTGCCTTGTCCCCTTACTGTCAAAAAGTTTTCTCTCCTCTCTACTGACCTAAGACCTTATTTCTTTGGAGAAATAGGCACACATTCGAGGTTCTTACAAGGACTTGAGACCAGGTCTCTCATTAGTCAGTATACAAAAAATATAATTTTCCATAAACTAGAAATCGATCCTTCACAAATTTGGCGGGTTTTAACCACAGAGCCGAAAAAGATATACTAGTGGAACAATTTTTACGCAAACCGTCTGGCCTTCATAAAATACACTTCTCTCAAAGAACGTATACAAAAAAAAAAGAAAACCTAGACGATTAAACATTTATTTAAGGCTAACATTTTAAAAGTAGTAAAAATAATTTTTTTATAATATGTTGACAAGAACTTTCTAGTTAGTCAAATGTCCCGAATTTTGGTAACTTTGCACCAATTAAGAAGAGAAATTATTTTCCAGATTGCATCCCATTGCTCCGCCACAAGATATGCCTTCCAACTCAAACAGAGAGAAGGAAGGTGCAGATTTGCTGGTACACATATAGATATATCAAAAACAAATTTAAAATCTAATTTTCTTCAACTCACATATTTGAAACCTAAGATAAGTATGGGGAATGCCTTTTTTTTTCTTTTTTTTTTTAGAGACACCACCCGTATATGCATGGTTACAGAATCTGGTATTCCCAAGCGGTCACCAATCAAGGTACTGACCAGGTTCGATGTTGCTTAACTTCGGTCACCGGACGAAAACTGGTGTTTCAATGTGGTATGGACGTAAGTCATGTTTGATGAGAGAGCATATATGTGTGTGTATGTATGTGTGTTTGTGTGTGTATTATGGTATCGAAATAAAGTGTTTAGATTGGTCAATAAATCTATAAAAGGCGCTTCTTTTCAGACGATATCAGCTTATTTCTATTTTCATTTCGTTAGAAACAAAGAAAAGTGTACTGAAATGTTATGTAATATAAGTGAATGCTGGTCAGTCTCGTCACAGATGAAGAAGGAACTTGAAGCAACGGAAATATGATTCTACAGAAGAATACTATGGATGCCATGGACTGAACAAGCGAGCAACGATGAAAATGGAAACAAAAAGACACATATTTAACATCAGAAAGTTACCGTTAAAATTTCTAGGGTGCATAAAGAGGAAAGAGGACTTAGAAAATTTGAGGCACACAGGACATACTGAAGGCAATAGGGTCAGGAAAACAGTGCACAACCTACCTAACGAACTTGTGTAAATGGCTGGCAGAACTGGGACAAGGAGAGAAAACAGGGAGGAGGAGAGAAAACAAGGAGGAGTAGAGAAAACAGGGAGGAGGAGAGAAAACAGGGACGAAGAGAGAAAATAGGGAGGAGGAGAGAAAACAAGGAAGAGGAGAGAAAAGAGGGACGAGGAAGAGAGAAAACAGGGAGAAGGAGAGAAAACAGGGACGAGGAGAGAAAAGAAGGACGAGGAGAGAAAACAGGGACGAGGAGAGAAAACAGGGACGAGGAAGAGAGAAAACAGGGAGAAGGAGAGAAAACAGGAACGAGGAGAGAAATGAAGGACGAGGAGAGAAAACAGGGACGAGGAGGAGAGAAAACAGGGAGAAGAAGAGAAAACAGGAACGAGGAGAGAAAAGAAGGACGAGGAGAGAAAAAACAGGGGGAGGAGAGAAAACAAGGAGGAGGAGAGAAAACAGGGAGGAGGAGAGAAAAAAGGGAAAGGAGAGAAAACAGGAACGAGGAGAGAAAACAAGGAGGAGGAGAGAAAACAGGGAGGAGGAGAGAAAACAGGGAGAAGGAGAGAAAAGAAGGACGAGGAGAGAAATGAAGGTCGAGGAGAGAAAACAGGGAGAAGGAGAGAAAACAGGGACGAGGAGAGAAAAGAAGGACGAGGAGAGAAAACAGGGACGAGGAGAGAAAACAGGGACGAGGAAGAGAGAAAACAGGGAGAAGGAGAGAAAACAGGAACGAGGAGAGAAAACAGGGACGAGGAAGAGAGAAAACAGGGAGAAGGAGAGAAAACAGGAACAAGGAGACAAATGAAGGACGAGGAGAGAAAACGGGGGGAGAAAACAAGGAGGAGGAGAGAAGACAGGGAGGGGGAGAGAAAACAGGGAGAAGGAGAGAAAACAGGAACGAGGAGAGAAAAGAAGGACGAGGAGAAAAAACAGGGAGGAGGAGAGAAAACAGGGAGGAGGAGAGAAAACAAGGCGGAGGAGAGAAAACAGGGAGGAGGAGAGAAAACAAAAAAAGAAAAATGCTAAGAGTGACAAAATACAAGAAATCGTGGTGAACCATGATCGCCAACGTCTTAAAGGGAGACGCACATAAAAGAAGAAACTTCTCAGGATGCTTTCACCCGAATGCTTCTTTTGAAGGAAAATATTCTAATTTGGACTTATAATAAGTCACTTATTTGAAGTCCAAATTCAGTCAGTCATTTATGTGCCATGCGAGGATACACGCTTACGCGACCCTTTCGATACATGATTGACGAGGCAGATTTTTTCCGCTGTAGGTTTCCATTTCTTTCTGCAGTAGACCAATTGCCATCCAAGGCTACAGAATTCGGTCTGTCCTGTTATTTACCCATAGCTGGGGATGGGGGGAGGAGAAGAAGGGGATTCGTACCTTTCCCAAAGGTTTTAGCACGTAATTGAATATAATGAATTTGACTGGAATTCGAACTCGGGTCTCCGATTCCTCAGCCCAAGCCACTATCCTCCAAATTAAAATATTTTATTTCAAACGAAGCATTTTCTTGTTAGCTTTAAATCAAGTGATTTGAATTTATTCAAAACCATATATGATGGATTCGATTCATTTCATTGTCTGTTGATTCTCAGTGCGAATACTTTATATATTGTAAGATAGAAGGTTTCAAATTTATTCTGCTTCCAAATTATTAAACCCATTCTCTCTGTCGTGGTGTTTACACACTTCTTCAGAATACCCATATACAGGACTTACACGATTATCCGGATATCTTTAGAACAAGGGTTGAAAAACACGCCCGGATAATTCAAAATTCCGGATAATTGAATACCTAAATTATCGAACAAGAATGAAGAAAAATGCCATTTTCTGAAAGACATTTAACGTTATCATCAAATAACTTTTTCAAACGCTTTGTTCAAATTTTTTACAGATTATTTTTTTCTGAAAAAGTGCGTCAATTTTTGTGTTTCCGGCAAGCCTTGATTTTTTTTTTGCTAGTAATTCCAGAAATTGAATGAACGTAAATGTATAATGCTAATCTCTGGCGCCACCAAGATGTGATCAATCAAATGTATATTCTATGTAAGAATACAAAGAGGAAATTATTCAGAATTAATTGAACAGATTCTATCAGTGTTTTCATCAAACGTTGAATGTGTTGTTTTTTAAAATTCTCAAAACGCTTATCGTTTCTTTTTTATCAACTCACCCCAAGCAAGGTGATAATGCCACTATGTCTAGTTTCTTCGTATAAAGACAGTTTATTACACTAGGAAATAGTCTAGACATAGGTAGATTTCTTATTACTTATTGATTTGTTGTTTTCATTTTGTTTGAAAATATTTGCTGATTTGTTGTTTTCATTTTGTGTTAAATTGGTTAATTAACATTATTATTTTAATTAATTATGTTCCGATACTGTGCCTGCTATAATTTGAATTTCTTTAATTTATTAATTTTGCCGATTCTTAATCTTTTTTCTTCACGAACACTAAAAGATAAAACCTCAGAAAAACTGTCTTAATCTTTACGAATAACATTCTGTAATGCCGGATTTTTATTCTTCCATAGAATTTTCAAGTTCGTCTCTGCTGTTTTATTATTTTGATCTTATTCTGAAGATATTTATTTTTTGTCTTATTCTGGCAAAAGGCCAACAGTGTAGAGCACTGCTTAACATGGCGACATTGATCTCTAACAACTCTACTGAAGATGAAAGAAGAAATTCAAAGAGTTTGGGTATTAGAAAGATCAAAACAGTGAGATATAAATTCACAATAGACAATATTGGTTATTTGCAAGCAAAAGTTCTCTTTCAATTATCGATTTGTCTTGGTTTTTTGCCAAGAAAGATCTTCAGCGTTAAAAAAAATTAAACAACTAGAAATGCATGTCGAAAAAGCAACAGCTCTTTATATGCAAAAAGACGTTCAGATGGTTTGTTTATTGATCCATTTTAAGCTATTGATTTCTCTTATGCAGAGAAAGACCTTCCGACTTTTATGTTTAATAACAGAAAAGAATAAAAACATCATGTTTTCATTTAAAGCTGTTATTTGGCGTTCAAAAAAAGGGAATTTGATTTATATATTTTGCTTACTATTTGAAATTTCTTTCTTTCTATTTATTTGTTCATTTTGGCATCTCAATCGCAGGTGTCGATGATATTTCTTTTACTAGTTTTCACCCTAAGAACCACTTAAGATAGAGTTTATTTACTTATTTTTGATTGATTTGTTTTTATGGTCCCTCAACCTTTTGCAGGTTATTTAAAGCCATGATTTTTTTTAGATTGTAAAACATTTTTGGGGATAATTTCCTGAGACAAGTCCTACTAATTAACCTATAATTGGGGAGAAGAGGTGGATTCATATATTTCTCAAGATTATTCACGCGTAAGTAAATATAACAAACCCGGCTGAAATTAGAACTCGACTCTCTGATCTCCAATTCCGAGTCGTTCTCCATTACACCACCCGCACATTCAAAATTACAACACCTGATATTCCCAAACGGTCACCCATCTAGGTACTCATCAGGTTCTATGTTGCTTAACTTCGATGATCGTACGAGAACAGGTGCCAACGTAGAGGGTTACTGAAGAAGGTGTGACTAGTCAGAGTAGAGATTAAGACGTGCAGTTTATTATGATATATATATATTTTAAGCAAATCCCCCCAAGGAAGGTGGGAGTGCCACTAGCACACAAGGGGTTACAGAGAGTGAGAGTAAGTGTAAAGAGGAGTGTTTGGGAAAAGGATAAAGAGAAGGACAGGGATCAAGGTCAAGGCATCGGAAGATGTCGATTGACATTACATTTGAATATTTGAAGATTATAGCTCTCAGGGAAGCAAGTGATAGGAAGGGAGTTCCACCGACGGGAGGTGCAAGATAAGAAGCTGTTGGAGTAGAAGACATGGCTATATTTAACCGTTTCAACAGTGAACTGGTGGGACCGAGGTGCCAACCTAGTAGCACGCTTAAATTCATGCAGTTTGGGGAAAAATAGCAGTTAACTCTCGACTTGAAGAGATTAAAATTTTAGTGGTCAAGAAAGCATCATGTTAGGGTGAACTAAAATTACAATAATGTCCGTGTCCTCTCTCTCATGAAGACTACTCCCATCCCATTTTACGCTTCTGCTGTGGGAACAATGATTAATATTTTTCCGGTGCCAGATTTTCTGTTCTCCATTTTTCATTTAGTTAGAAAGAATAAAGGAAGTGCTTCGCATAAGTAAATATTTTTAGATTTAAGATCTTTTGGGGGGGGGATAATTTACTGATACAAATCCTACATAGTTGGGGAGAAGAAGTGGATTCATACATTTCTCAAGATTATTCGCATGTAAATGAATATAACAAACCCAGCTGAAATTAGAACTCGGCTCTACGATCTTCAATTCCTAGCCGTTCTCCATTACACCACCCTCACATTAAAAATTACAACACCTGGTATTCCCAAGCGGTCACCCATTTAGGTACTCACCATGTTCTATGTTGTTTAACTTTGGTGATCGTAGAGGGTTACTGAAGAAGGTAGCTGTGTGATTGGTCAGAGTAGGAGGTAAGACGTGCAGTTTATGATGATATATGGAAAGAAATAACGGTTAACCCTAGACTTGAAGAGATTAAGATTTTAATGGTCAGGAAAACATCCTCTTAGGGTGGACTAAAATTACAATAATGTCCGTGTCCTCTCTCATGAAGACTACTCCCATCCTATCTTACGCTTCTGCCATAGGAACAATGATTGATATTTTTCCGGTGTCAGATTTTCTGTTCTCTATTTTTCATTTAGAATAAAGGATAAGTGCTTTGGCATAAGTAAATATTTCATCCTCTAGTTGATTTATTTCTCGTTTTATTTCACTACTCAAATATGAGTCAACCATTATTTACCGCAACACATCCTCTCAGGTGTCGGTTCCACAAAGTAGCAGTTCCCGGGTAGAAGCTCTCTGAGTGGTAAGATACTAATGGAATATGGGGGGAATGAAGCTGATTCGACACTGTGTATGTGCAAGTCCTAGCTGTGAAGGAACTGGTGGAACTAAGGAATGTAGCTTATCAGAACATTTGCCATGGAAATAGGAATAGAGTAACAATAGCTTAGCAATGATTTGTCTGTGGGGAAAGGGGTTGTAGAGTGGAAAACAATCCTACACCACAAGGATGTATAGATGCTTTTGAACTCTATAGGTTCATCAATAAGTTTATTAAATAATGAAAAAAAAGGGATTTTGCAAAACAAATATTTATTTTTCAACATAATCCTCTTCTTTGAACTTAACACTTCTCTGTTGACTACATAGATAAAATATTATACAGTGAAAATGTCAGATTAAAATGGGGTGAATAATTATGGGTTATTGATCCACATTTATATGAGGAGATGGTGAGAAGTTCTCATCCTGACAAAGAATTATTTTCAAAAGAAATATAATGTTCAGTAATTTTTATAAGTAGGTCAGTCTGAGAATTTTGGTTATCTATGTGAACACCATCCAAAGAGATAAAATATTGTCATGATTTTAATTCAAAATGTTTGTTAGGTTATGGTCTATTTCCTAACATAACTAAAAACAGACAGACGTTTTTTTCTAACAATTTCTGCTGACATGAAGTAGAAAGATTATATTGAATCAATTGCTAGATCTTCTGCTAGGAAAGTTGGTTCACTGTGCTGTACTAGACAATTTTTCTCTCGAGAATCTATATTACATATTTATAAGTCTACCATTCATCCATGCTTAAAATATTGCTGCCATATATGGTCTGGTGCTCCTGCTATATATTTAGAGTTTCTTGATAAAATCCTAAGAAGAATCTACAAAGTTATTGGTCCTGACCAATAACATTGTCTTGATTCCTTTTCTTTTATTGTTCTTGTTCCTTAATAATGTTTTCTTTTTCCTATATTCTTTCACATTCAGTAAACCTCTAGTGGATTTGTTGCCTTGCTTGGAGTGAAATGATTAAAAAAATGAAATAAGTGATGGTACACACTCTGAATTCGTCATAAAAATTCAGGATGTAGAATTAGTAATACCAAACACTTCAAATACTTCAGTGTATGGACCAATTATAGCAAATTTGGTTTAGGAGAAATGGCAACTGAATATAGAATAGGTTGTTCTAGAGGAAGTTTCGTCCATTACAGCACATTGCTACTAAACCAAATCATTAGTCTAATCCAAAACATGCTATAACGTTACTATAACTATTTTCACTGTAATTTTTATTAGGTTTCCTGTATGTCTTGGGTATTTAAAATAGTAAGTACCTCATGTCATCAAAATACTATTCAAGGATCAATTTTTGCATCACTATTTCCCTTTTCTCAAAAAATTGATTGCAGTGTTTTCCTGCATTGTTTTTATTTTTGGTCTCATCTAAGGAATAACATCTGTGATATTATTTTTCTGTCTGTCTTTTGTATTTATCTACTTACTGAAAGCATCCAAGTGTAAAAGGAAAAGAAAACGAGTCACAAAGTCTATTTTTATCCAGATAATTTTACACCAAAGCAGTTACTTCATGCTATACTATCGGGTTTATTTTTTTGTCAGTTTACCTCAAGTCCTTCCTGCTCCACCTCAGTACAAGGAAGCATGAAAAAAGAAAAAGCCAATAAAATCCCGTGGCCTGTCTGCATAACATTTCTAGGCCAAAATTAATTCCACATTGTCCAGAATGCCATTGAAAGATCAGTCCAACATCTATATTTATTCATTTTACAAATTCCAAGAAAAGTCTGCAAAATCCACTGGTTTTCCATTCTAGAACAACTGGGTGATGCTCTTAAGAACAGTGCTTGGCTGGTTATCAAGTAGAAATGTCTTCATAACACTTTCTACTTTCTGTTTATTTTCAGCCCAAAACACATATTTGCACGCTAACAAATCTTATATAGCAGATAAGGAGATATGGAAATTGAACAATAAACTGTGCAAGGAGTATTTTTACCCAAGACTGCAATTTGCTACAAAACAAAAATATTAACCTAAGAACTCTAGTCATATTCTTAAATAGACTCATCAGATTGAGACTTTCATATGGATGTTAGGCATGGTACGAAACTTGTCCAGAAACATCTGCAATGTCAGCTGTATACAACTCCTTATCAGATTAATGGTGGCTTCAAGCAAAGGAAGTTGAAATTTATAAGATATTTCTATTAAAAGAATTTTTCAGTAAAATTGGTTTCTTGAGTGCAGTAAGTGTTAGTGCTCTTTCCAGTAGTGATGGGGGCTTGTTTGAAGCAGTGTGGATGGTCAACATCTTATGTCATTATTTTCTCTTCAATTTACATGTGCTATCAATTTTAGTTGTTGCTACTGTTGAAAGTCTTCAAGTGATGTGGTTTCTGTTTTTTGGCACACTTCTTTCTTTGTAATTTTGTAGCACCACAAAGCTTAAAGAAGGATGGTCCTTGCTAAAACCTACAGGATTTTCACTCAAATCGTCCATTAACCATCAATCTGAGAAAGTGGTTGTATACAACCGAGAGTTTAGATTTTTTTATTTTCTAACAGTAAGGTTCACTCTGTACAAGGTCCAGGATCACTTGAGGTAGAGGGTTATGTTAGGAGGCAGTTTGTATGGTAGGAGAGAAAGGTAACAGTTAACTCTAAACTTGAACAGGATAAGATTGTATTTACAGACTAACAAATCTCGTATAGCAGATAAGGAAACATGGAAATGAAACACAGAATTGACTGTGCTAAGAGTAGTTTTAACCAACACTGCAAACTGCTACAAAACCAAATCATCAACCTAAGTCAAAACCTTCTGAAAAATAGCTTTTCTGTGACCTTTCTATACATATTTTCATGTTCATTTTTATGAAGTTTTTTCCTCTTCAGTAACTCAACTTTATGAATTGAAGCACATTACAAGATTGGCAGGTAGGTCTCATCAATTTATTGTTGAAATTATTGTATGTAAACATAAGCCCGATTCTAATAGCTTTTTCTCCTGTACTTCATGCTTGTAGAAATCTCTTCCCACTTCCTGCTATCCTGTCAACTACAATCTTAAAAATGTAAATGTTACATCAATTGTCATCTGTCTCTTTTTACTGTTCTTTCTCTCCTCCATAATATTTTCACAGTTTTCTTTCACTCTCAGTAAACCTTTGCATCTTAGTGACTTTATCACCTTGCTTGGGATGAAATGATTAAAAAATGTATAAGGACAAGTGCATAATATTGTAGATAGAGCATTTATAGATATAGACAATGTAAACATAGAAATCAATACTAGAACACACAGACACACACACACACATATATATATATATATATATATATATATAAAATTGCTGGGCTATATGACAGTTCCGTGTAGGATTCACGTTTGTGTGTCAGAGGACACATATTTTCTATGAAATCTTTTGAACATTCAGGTGGGTAAATTCATTAATACTATTTATTATAAACAGAGCATGTACTTAAATATTTGTATCTATAAAAATAGCATATAAACAATAAATATATTCAAATAATTGTTGGACTTATTCCATTTCATAAAGCCAATATTAGGCGGAGACAGTTTTAATGGACAAAATATGAAGGTGCTGTAGATT